ACCACATGCTATATTTCTCTCAGTTAAGGTCAGAGCTCTTTGTTTTAACAATAAGAAGAGACTAGGCAAAAAAATCATGGCTGGCCAAAAACAAAATACAGGCCGGTCTAATGTTACCTAAGAAGCATTTCAATAATTCCTTAAACATTTGGGAGAATATTCTGTTGACTGATGAGACAAATGCAGAAATTTTCGAATGGTTGCATCTTGGTACAACTTGAGCAAAACTTACACAACATCTTAGTAGAGAACATCATTTGACCAATGGCAGTGGGGTATTCTGAGGCTGATTCAACACCCTGTCTGTAATTGGTGATACCATGAAATCTGCTCTATGTCAAAAAACTAAAATAAATAATAATAATAATAAGTTTATAGATTAAGCCAAAAATCTGAGAAGTCTGGATAAAACTAATTGTATTTAAGTCTGTACCATGGCCTTAAGTAGGTTGCTCCAATGTGTCTGACATCAATATTGCAAAGATTACTTAAAATGTTTTTAATTCCATTTTTTCAATGGGTTGAGGTAATTTTATTTTATTAATGAAATATCTAGAAACCGCTTTTTGTATTAACATGGATTATATTGTTGATCTGAAACAATGGAGTGATCAAAAACATTAACAGAAGAGACATGTATAATATGTTTATCTGTACATCATATGCATATGATGTACAGATAAACATATTATACATGTCTCTTCTGTTAATGTTTTTGATCACTCCATTGTTTCAGATCAACAATATAATCCATGTTAATACAAAAAGCGGTTTCTAGATATTTCATTAATAAAATAAAATTACCTCAACCCATTGAAAAAATGGAATTAAAAACATTTTAAGTAATCTTTGCAATATTGATGTCAGACACATTGGAGCAACCTACTTAAGGCCATGGTACAGACTTAAATACAATTAGTTTTATCCAGACTTCTCAGATTTTTGGCTTAATCTATAAACTTATTATTATTATTATTTATTTTAGTTTTTTGACATAGAGCAGATTTCATGGTATCACCAATTACAGACAGGGTGTTGAATCAGCCTCAGAATACCCCACTGCCATTGGTCAAATGATGTTCTCTACTAAGATGTTGTGTAAGTTTTGCTCAAGTTGTACCAAGATGCAACCATTCGAAAATTTCTGCATTTGTCTCATCAGTCAACAGAATATTCTCCCAAATGTTTAAGGAATTATTGAAATGCTTCTTAGGTAACATTAGACCGGCCTGTATTTTGTTTTTGGCCAGCCATGATTTTTTTGCCTAGTCTCTTCTTATTGTTAAAACAAAGAGCTCTGACCTTAACTGAGAGAAATATAGCATGTGGTGCTTTAGATATTTATAGATTTCTTTTCTTTTTTTGTGACCCCTTGCATGAGTTGTTGCTGAACTTTTGGAGTAATTTGGCCTGAACAGTCACTGCTTTTCAAAGGCCCAATGTTTTTGTGTGTAGTGGAAGATAATGGCTCTCATACTCATTTGCTGGTTCATTAAGTCATAAAAATTGCACTGTCACTCTTTCACAGCTAACAAAAGTCAATTATTACATCTGTCAAAATGTTCTATTAAGGTGAATTCTTCACAGTACTGGAATTGAACTAAATTTTCCAGCACATGTAGTTATTCACAGTTCATTTAGTTATCAAAATGCATATTTTGAAATAGGGGTCTTGTATTTTCTGCCACTTGTTTGATCTAAATTGCTGTACTGTGTGAATAAGGTATAATATATATACATAAGGTTTTATTATCTATTTTTACAGCAAAAGGTGCTGACTTATTTCAACTTTTAATTTGGTATAGTCTTTTATTTCCTCACGATGAAGAAATATCTCAGTGTAAGTGTCGGGCTTCCTTTCCGACTTATGAAACTCTGGCTGCACTATGCCTGTGCAGGAACATACTTCATCAACACAGTGTGTCAGAGACAGTGGGAGGCGAAATGACACATTGCTCAATCAATAACGGTTCATCTGGGCAGCCCTGCATCTGCTGCCAGCACCAGGGGACTTATTCTGACCATGTATATGTGTGTATGTGCAGTAATGTTGAAGCAGTATCCACTCAAAGCAATAAATTTATATGCCTCTTCAGACCTGCTGGATATGAGCCACCTCTTAATCCTGTAGATGACTAGAACAACCTAAAGTTCTTTATCGCTGTTATGTTGGAACATAATGGTGACATTTTTAATGTTTCGTTTTGTATAAAGTAACTTGAAACCTATTATGTTAAAACACAGAAAACATTAAGCCCATTTCCTAATTCATGTTCACTAGTTTTAATACCTTAGCTTAAATTTAGAAGAAGATTAAAAGATTCTGAAAGATATGGGCATCTACTATGTCATACTGCAGCCATTCACTTCAATGTTGTTCAGTTTTTATTTTTTATATTTTATTTTCAGACTCTTTGAGATAACCAATATATCCATCCATCCATCTTCTGTCACGTTTGATCCCTTCTGGGGTTGCGAGGAGTGCTGATGCCTATCTCCAGCTTTCTACGGGGTAGAGGCAGGGTACACCCTAGACAGGTTGCCAGTCCATTGCAGGGCAACACAGACACAAACAACCATTCACACACACTCACACCTAAGGAAAATTTNAAATGACTTAAAGAAGCTCAAGAAGCTGATAAAGAATAGCACCTCTGTTCTGGGAACTATGTTAGAACATCTAAAGGCTTCTTCAGATCTTTTGCAAGACAGAGTTCAACAAAAAATATCTCCTGCCTACAGCTGTTGATATAAACAATGAGTTGGGGGAAAAAGCTTTAAATTACGTGAACATTTAATTTCCCTTTTTAAATCACTAAAGTATTTTTGATTTGAATTAAATGTGTAGAACTAAATCTATGGTACAGTTTAAGCGCTATCTGATAAAATGCCTTTATTTTCTTCATTCTAATATGTTTCTTTATCTTATGCTGATTATTGAGTGCCAAAGTACCTCTTTTCCCTCCTATTCAAAGAGTGCAATTAGGTAACAAAAAGCCTATCGGTACATGTCGTTGCTTTTAGCATGGCACAGCAGCTTCATATTTCTCCCTTTATTCTCCCTTGAATGCATTTTCATGGAGTACATTCGAACAAAAGGCAAAGTGGCGGTGTTAAAGTGCTGTAATTTACAGTCAAAGGTGGATGGTGAGACAGACTGCCATCTACTGGCTTTAAAAGCACCCCCCCCAGCCCACACACCCACCTCCTTTCATCCACATCTCTTCACAACCCTCCTCCTTCTAACTCCTACTCGAGAACGCAGTTAATATGAAGACAGTTTGCAAAAAGGCACCAGATTAATACATGGGAGAAGCAAACTGGATTTCTACTTATTGTCAGACCAGATGACAATCAGCTCAGCATCACACCATCAACATTAATATATGCATTCATAAGAAGCTGCTATTAAAATGTATAATGAACCTCAGTGTCTGCAGCCATAGCACACCAGGGCTGGATGGGTTTAAACAATAAAAGCATAAAATATATTTGGTTATTTTTGATATGAATTGATTGTTTTAATAAACTTCTCTTTTAAATATTTTCTTGTTATAACTTTATCTTATGTATCATTACATTTTCCTTTAGAAAAAACACTTGTTGAGTAGGGCCAATTCAAAAAACATTTAGAAATCACCCTCATGGGTTACAGAAATTGTCATATGAGACAAAAATGAATGGTAAAGCAAATTGTAATCTCCTTACATTAAACAGCTAAGGGTAGTTATTAATAAACTTGTAACTCTTAAAACCCTAAAGTCAGATTTTTTTTTTTTGTTGCTTTTTTTTTTAGTTTTTTTATCAGGATGGACACTATTCTCGAATTCTTGTAAAAAGAAAACAATAACAATGATTAAATAATTGAAGGAGCAATTATCGCTTGAACACACGACTCTTCATGTGATCTGTCGCACACAGTCAGCGTCTCCAAACAGGAAGGTTTTATATGGTAATGGGATCGATTGGACCCGTGCGCGCACCAATGAGAAGCGTTTGATTTATGTTTAAGGGACTGTTGAGAGCAGCAGTCGCTTGGCAACTGCCTAATGAATGTACGAAATATAGCGACCTATTTGCTGCAGCAGTTTAAAATAAATCATACCAGGCGATCATAGCCGATCTGGAAGAAACTCAGTGAAAAAAAAAAAATGTCTCCAAGTAAAGTCACAGTTTAGATCATGACTTTAAACCTTTCTTAAGTCCAGAGGCATGCCGGTGATTTAAACCTGACTAAAAGCTGATTGGAGCAATACTGCTAATGATGCAATGAACATGAAATCCTCCCATGCATCGTTCTTTAATCAATCTCTTCATATCAGTCCTCATTAGTCGTGTTACAGCATTTAACAGGCATGTATGTTTGCTGCTCTCTAACCATGGATGAACAGCGCTCCCTCTGAGCTGAGAAAAGACGTGAACGCGTAAAAGGGAAAAATAAAATCAGCTAATCGCCCTTTTAGTTATACTTCTTCCTAAACATGACAGAAGACGCAGTTGAGGGTATGAGAAGCGACTAACTGTGACAAGAGGTCCATTTATATCCTAAAAAAATGCCAAATAAAAAAGATAAGTAGAGACTACAATGCAACGAGAAGACCTTTAATAGAGTAGAAAACACTCCCATTCAGTTTGATCCTATTTATAAAAGTTGTAAAAAAGCAATACACCTAAATATCATAACTTTCATTGCAGACATTTTAGTGCAGCCTTTTCTAATGAATGTGAAAGACAGGGAGCAGTATTGATGTGGCGGTTACTGTGGAAACCAACTTTTCCCCAGCTACTGCCATTATCCTCAACTACAAACCTCATATACCCTATATTGAATATAGAACAAAAAGGTTTGACATATTTAAAGATTATTTTTTGTTATGATCTGCAGTCTGGTGAAGAATTGTCATTACTGTTTTGTTTTTTGTTCTTTTTTTTTTTTGTTGATCATATAAAGACTCAGGGGTTAATGAATAATAATAAGACTCAAAATATGTGTGACTTACAACAGTTGGTGACCGCGAAACTGTTGGCCACCTCCAGATTATCAATATGAGGTGTCAGTCTGAATTCCGAGGTTCCAAATTGAACCATTCCTATCCGAAACGCGCTGTACTCTTGATCCGCGCCCCTTGGAAAAAGTCCCCCTGTAATAATGGCACAATGTTGGTTATATTTCTACAAATCCAAACAGCGTGGTCGATTTTTTTAACCAAATTTGCATGTTTTCTCTAATCCATTCGAGTATTTTAAACACATTTCTCTTTTATGAATGAGTTGGCTACTCACCAATTTGAACACTGGGCGAACCCCCGAACGCGCATACCCAAAAAACCAGAAGAATAGAAAAAAATAAATTCACTATATTTCCCATGTCTACAGTTCAGGTGTCCACATCTACCAGAGGAGTCTGGTCTCCCTTTTTTTTCTCCTCCTTGCAGGCGTTAGATCCAACACATATTAAGCAGCTTTGATATTGGAGAGGGGGAAAAAAGAAAGTAATCTGAAAACGAATGTTATATATCAGTTAAATGACACCAGTCTTAAAGGAATGGTCGCCTGCGGTGAGGTTTTGGTCTCTTTTTCTCCGCTCTTCTCCGTCGCTCCACGTCCACCGGCAGCAACACCTCTTGTGAACGCACAAGGATGGTGCGCGTCTCCGCTCCGCGACGCGCGCCTCGGATCTTCTCACCATCACACCCACAACTGAGGAATGTTAATAAGAAGGCGGACAGACACGGAGAGGTCTGAAAGTTGGCCACACTAGCTCCAAACCGCTCACTTGCTTCGAAACAAATGGAAACGGGGGCTCCTGTCTAAGCGATATTGATTTTGCCTTGGAGTTTCAGAGGCTAAACAGGAATAAAGAGATCAAATAGTTAACATTCCTCATTTATGAGAATATACCGTAATAAGGACAAGTATTTTTTTCCTCATATATTTCTGTTTTATTATTTCAGACAGAGGCTGCTGGGTTTTGGTTACTTTTCCATATTAAAATGTGTCCCACAAGTTCTCTGACAGTAAAAATCACCAACCATCTAAATAAGGAGTGCATTTCAAAAAAGATTCCATCTCACGTCTTGCACAGTAATTAAAATGAACCATCTCTTTAACTTTAATTTAGAGTTTATATCCACCTTTTCTGTGCAAATATTTAAGCCTTGCCTAAGATGTGTATATATATATATATATATATATATACACAGGAGAAGGTGTGCATCCAGTCAACAGAAAACAGGAAGCAATTTCCTCCTTTAATTGTATAGCATGTAACCCTCAGCGTGAACAGACAGATGCACATTCATCATTGTCTGTGTTAAATGGCATTTTGGATGCAATCTAATGTAGCTCGTGGACTTTCAGAGCCAAACAGGAACTTTTTGACAGATTTCAGCACCTTGGACAGCATATGGCATTCAAAGGTGAGGCTTCTGCTGAATAGATCTCAGGAAACAACCACTTAGAGGATTTGTTCAGTTTTTGAAAAGAATGAGCTTTATATCCAATTTATTATGATAATGACTCAAATTATGTCATCAATTATATCATCAGAGCAACGCTGAGAAAAATACGCAATCGCAAAATGTCAACTACAAGGCCTAAAAACAGAGATAACAATTTTTCTATGCTTTTTGATAGGTTTTGTCACATTACAGATGCAAAAATTCTTATTTTATTTGTATTTTTTTGAGAAATATACTCTAAACAAACAATACAGTTAAAAAAAAAACATATCAATTTATGTTGTTTTATTTTTCAGGCTACATTTACCCTGATACACTCAGTATGTGCTACTACTTCTTTCAGAGTTCTTTGGTATAAACCCCTAATGTGTAAATCATTGTTAATACAGTTGTTCTTTAAAGGGCTCAGAAGACAAAAGAAGAATGGAACAAGGATAGATTACAAAAGCCAACCCAAGCTTTTAGTGCTGAATTAGGCATTGCTCAGGGATTTCTTCAAGAGGTCATTTAAAAAATTGACATAACCGTAAACCTCCAAAATAGGTCATAGTTGATGAAGGGATAAAAGCATGATGGGATGGAGAAATAAAAGAAGAAAAACATGGTTTAAAACATGGCCATAAATGACTAAATCAGACATTCACCTTACAGCAGAGCACAGCCCTAAAAATATCTTCAGAGATATGACCAAAAGGGTTAAAACAGAGCACATTGAAATTTTAGAATGGCTGGATTTAAATTCCAGAAAAAATGCTGGTTGATGATTACAAATAAACTTTATTAATTGCATTGATTTAATGGCAACACAGACCCAAAAAGCCATAAATATAATTTTTATTCATTTATACACACTATTTATGGCAAAAGTACACAGGTCACAATTGTTTTATCCTGACGGTATTAGTTGTGACCTTATGAAGACTTTTAATTTTGTTATGAATTACCTATAGTTGGATTTCTACCCAAACAGTTGGAACCATTGTTTTCAACTCAAGCTGTCTCAGCTGCATTTCAGTGTTTCATTGATTTCTTTCCTTTTTAAACAAACATAGCTGCAGTTTTTGCTTCTTCAAAACATTCTTCCCCTTAATAATTCATCCTGTGTGTAATGGGCTGTTGAAAATGAAATTTGCCTTAGCTGTGATGTTTGAGGTACTCTCTCCACACTCTCTTAATGCTGCAGCCATAGAGGGGACCTGATCGGAAACTCCTCCTGGCAAAGAAAAGGCTACATTCTGAACCACTCCTGTTCTACAGTACATGCTCACAATTGTTTGACCTTAACCAAAGGTTTCGGCATGCTTGAATTAATTCTTCTCATGTTCTTTTCAGCTAGATAGGCAGGTCATTTTAGTTGATTGTCTTACAGCATATTTCTTGCTGTAATGAATGTACAGCACGTTATATCATTTCACCATGACAACTCTCCTGGGCTCAAATTAGTTTTGTAGAGTTGAAATGGCAGTAAGACATAAACGAAACATGACCCCACTTAATGGACCACTTCACATGAGTAAACAACAACAGTGAAATATGAATTGAACAGATGATGTACTGTAGATACAAGATAAGTATCTAAAAAAGGCATTTCTTAAATGTATTCTTAGGATTTTTATTCAGTTCCTTCCCCTTCCTTTCCTTTCTTTTCATCTACTTTACTTTCCAAGATTTCTTTGTTTTCCTTTTTAAAACGTTTACAATTTCGTTATTTTGTTTAAGTACATCCTGTAAGTAGCATGGGTCACATACTTTATATGTTAGTATTTTAATATAGGAGGTAGCACCTGCTCTGTCCATCTCACCTGTTGTGTCCTTGCCCAGGATACTTCTTGCTTGGTGGCCTGAGGGAACAGCGATACTGACAGTTTTGCAGCCTCGCTTCTGTCAATGTGCCCCACTGCAGCTGTGGCTACAGTCTTCCCATCATCACTGTGTTATTTTGTATGAATGGGTGAATGTCTGAATGTAGTGTTAAGTCCTTACAGGGACTGGAGTACAGGGACTTCATACGCTCAATAAAAGCACAGCCCATTAATTCATTTGGTTCCCTGAGTTTGTCATTTGTAGAAATATCACATATAAGTTTATTTCTCTGTTTTAGTGTCTAAGTTTATCCTTTATTTCTCTTAGATCTCTGTAAGTCTTAACCCATGGGATTAATAGTTTCCTTTCGTCTTAGTTCACTGCAACTGATCTTAATTTGTCTCTCTCCCTCAATCTCCCTAATTTCTTTGTGGCTGAGTTGTTTTATATTATCCTCTAATTCACTCACCTGCATCCAAAGACATTCTGCACTCGTCACCTCTATGCAATTAGCAATTCAACTTCATTGTTCTTTGCTGGATTCTTCTCTCAAATGCCCCATTAGTCTGTTTGTGTCTTTGCTCTCGCTTCATGTCCTGTTCCCCCTTCTGTTACTCCCTCATGTTTTCTATTATTATTATCAGATCCTCAGCCTTAAGACCCATGTGTTTCTGTCAGCACTTTAGTCCCACTTTGAATCCACACATTATGACAGTTATGAGTCACTAATGGCCATTCCAACAAAACATTTGGCCTTTGATGGATAAATAAAAGCATGAGGAATGTGACAATAAAAATGTTCACCCTATTTTATTGGAAATTCCTCCTAGAAAAATACATTCGTTTATATCAATCCTTCCACATAGTTTTAGAATTTTGAAGACTGGTAATCCAGGTACTGACAGAGGTCTTACATTTGGAAATATACAAACAAGTTTATCATAAAGCTAAGCCAAATATCTGCTGAGAAACTATGCAAGCATAGGGTTACAACGTGCACCATCGCCTGGTAAACAACAATGTTGTTGTCACTTCAGAATATAGAAATTCTAACGCACATCTTTTTAAAAGACAGATGGAAAGTTTAAGAATACAACTTCACAACAGAGGCAGAGCTGGATGGGGGACAAGGGGTGGCCAAGGCCACTTTTAACCAATCATCGGCCATCCCTGGGGCCAGTCCTACCAGATGATCCCATTCAAATGTATTGTAATTCACAAGCAGTTCCTATCTTACACAGAGGGTGGCAGGAGTGAAACTTTCAAGTGAAATTTTGTAAATTATTTTACATTTTAAATTTTCTGATGTGAACAATAAACTGACCAAAAAAATACAATAGTTATTATTTACATCAATGTATTAATAAGAAAAAATAAAAAATTCAGAATGCATACTCTTTTCATAACTACTCCATGTATTATATGGAAAAAACAGAAAAAGTTTGGAAAAAACATCCTACCTATTCTTTAGCCATTGCGTGAAAGAATCTCCCATATATAATGGTCTTTTTTTCTTTCTTGTGATGCCTTCCTCTTTTTCTCATAAACTTATAAGACTGCTTTTTTGTGTCTCTTAACCATTTTTAAAGTATATGGTGAGAGCTGGGGCTAGCTGAAATCAAAGTAACTGGTGACAAAAACACCAGAAATACTCATGCACGGCAAGAAAAGGTTGATAGATTAGATGTTGCCCCAAAAACCTACAGTAAAACCAAAAGAAGATAATCTAATATACCTTCAATTTAGAGAGCATGGATGTGTAAATATATCTGTTTTTTATTATCAAGGGCTTTAGGAAAGCCTTTAGTTTGTTTTCATTTGGAAAACATGGAATTTGTGCTTGTTAATTCATGCACCTATGCACTTTCAACCCTCCTTAGTGCACATTAGTCTTTGCCATTGCTTCATAAGAAGGTAAACAAAACTACAATATATCTGCTGGAATTCAAACTTATTTGTTAAACCTTTAGATGTAACATGTATGTTGTTAAAACCTAGCCGTAGTAAGTTAAATTTGTTTCAAAGTAAATGTTTTGAAAATAATTCTTTATAATTTAGTCAAAAAATGCAAAGAAACAAATAAAACACTTTCAGAACATACTGTAACATCAACCATCTGCAACTAAATTCACAATTTCAAAGAAAAAGCAAATGCAGGAAATAGGTTATTTATTGGAAGATGTTCCTTAGTTGCTGTTGAAGGTTCTCAGTCATCTCAGGTTCTTAGTCATCCTGGTCATAGTCATTGCAGTCTAACAAAGTAGTTGGATACATATTTGGTGCCTCTCTAAAATGATTAAACATTGAAACTAAAGAGATTGTACGTAGATTAGTCTTTGATACTAACTTCAAAACTGACTTTAAAACAAAGAACAGCAG